GAAATTTAAAAGTGAAATTGTTTGTTTGAATTAAATGAAAAATTATGAAAAGAAAAATGAGACAAAATTTTATAAATGATATGATAAGTTTGATAAATTAAAAAAAAAACTATTTTAAGTGATAAAAATAAAAAATTATCATTGTATCTTTAAATATAAAAATAATTTAAAAAAATGTAATTGATATAAATGATGTTAAAATAAAATATGAGATATAATTAATGAAATTATACTCATCCATAACATTCGAGATCATTGCATGGAGCAGAGAATCTCCATTGTTCACCGTGTCTTTAGGAATAAAACCACACGCCATGCATAATAAAAAAAAGTGAAAAACCATTAAGGTTGAAATGGTAAATATCATAATGAGTTTGCAATTCTTTGCAAATCGTTTGAGGGTGTTACTCCCTCCACCACCACACCTTACTTCCTGTACCTCCCAATTCCTTTTTTGCCCTTCATTAATATTTAAACAGATATAAATTAAACGGATATCAACATCCGTATCCGTATCCGTTAAATGACAAACGGATCTCAATAGATGTATACACGGATGTTGACATCCGTCGTCCATTTATTTGTCATTTTATAAATAGACTTTGGATGACTAGGAAATATTTTGTTGGGTGTTAGAGATATGGGTTTAAGGTACAATGCTGATCCACAGAAGCATCAAGCAGTAATGATGACAAGTGCGAATCAAACAGTTTTCTATAGGTGCTGCATTGATGCATATCACGATACTTTCTATGCTTATTCCAACTGTCAATTCTACAGAGAATGTAACATCAATGCCATAGTTGATTTCATCTTTTGCAGTTGTGATCCAAAACTGTTATATTAGGCCAAAGTTACCAATGACAGCGCGATCTTCCTCAGATGGTAGCGCGGTAGTCGGGGAAACAAATGATGCTCCACTTGAAACTGCAGGTCACCGTGAAACCAGTCCATCCAAGCAGAACAACTGACATCAAGAGTATCATTCACTCTGCTCTCACACCATGGACCATCCCACAACCTACATTTCCTCCTCCGAACTCCGCAAACACAACTTGCGCAACGACGCGTGGATCTTAATCCATGGCAAAATCTATGACGTCTCCTCCTGGCTCCACCGCCATCCCGACGGTGCCCTCCCGCTTCTCACCGTTGTCGGCACAGACGCCACTAACGCCTTCCTCGCCTTCCACCCGCCCTCCGCCGCCGCCGCCCTTCTCCCTGCATTCTCCACTGGCCTCCTCCTCTCTGACTACGCCGTCTCTGTCGCCTCCTCCGACTCTAGAAGCTCCGCTCCAAGCTCTCCGAACTCAACCTCTTCGAACACAAGGGCCACACCACCCTCATCTTGCTCTCCCTCATCCTCACTCTCCTCCCTCTCTACGTCCGCGGCGTCGTCTTCTGTGTCATTCACTGCGTCTGTGAAGGTGGGTGACGGAAATGGAAAAGAGAAGAAATGGGAGGTGGTGGGTGTGAGGGTGAGTGAGGAAAATGGAAAAGAAAAGGAGAAGAGGGGAGGGGAGGTGGTGGGTGACGGGAGGTGGTGGGTAACGGAAATGGAAAAGAGAAAGAGAAGAGAGAGGGGGGTGTGGTGTGTGCTGGAATGAGGGTATAGAATTAGGGTTTTTAATTAAAAATATAAAAAGTTAATTTAAGGATAATTTTGGAAAAAAAGTAAATTGAGGAGGTGCTGGAAGAAGGCAGTGGTGGTGGAGGGAGTAACACCCATCGTTTGATACTAACGAAAGACTCACTGTTTCATCCTCGACTCCACCAATCAACGTAAAACAAATATAGGCTAAAAGCAATACTAGGAAATAGGAAATATACTTCCGGTTAATTAAGTAAAAAAAAGAGTTAAAGTTGTGAAATTTAATTGTTTGATATCAAGTTTTTTACTACTTTTATTTGTTTTAATTATTACATTCTTTCTATTGAATTGAATATCAAAATAAGATAAAGTTTTTTATAAAACTATTGAATATTGAAGATTTTGAAAATTTTAAATTAAAATGACATCGACTATGACTATGGGATCTTGAAGAACAAGGATTTGGATGATAGAAATATAAGGTTAAAACTATCATCAGTAAATTACTAAAAGTTATTAGAAATTGAATAATTAAAACTTACACTCTAGTACACATACTACGCTTCCTATCAATAAGAGTTGAAAATTATAATCATTCAATAAAAAATGTTCATGAATAAAAATATTATTTTAATGGTCCACTAAGTTATTTGAAATTGAAGAAAAATTACTTCTAAGATTCCTTTTAATGATATTCTTTTTATTCCTAAAACTCTCCACTCTTCTTTTATTTGTATTTTATACTAAATTGTTTGATTATGCTTGAATCATGTATTTCTAAAATCCAACTTAACATAAAAGACCTCCTTCCAAGGACCCCTTCTTTCACCTTCATAACTATGTGTATTGACGAAAAGAAACTAAAATCTCACCATCATGGTTATTATCCTCCTTTTTCTTTCGGAGTCGATATATAGATCCATCTTGAATTTCAGTTATCCCGAATGTCTCCATGCGAAGCAATCTTGCAGGTCTTACAATGGCTCTCAAATTGAATACTGAATGCATGAAAGAACAAAGGTGAATGGGGTCGAAGGAGGATTAATACTGTCATTCATGAACGGGATTTTCTTCTATAATCAATCCAAACCCTGGTTTTTCTAAACAAAAATAAAGGGTTCAGAATTATAGCCTTTTAATCTTCTTACACCAAGATGCGACTTTCTAAAATATTATTTTACTACGAGATGAATGTACATGACCCCCCTTTAATTTATTTTTTATTTAATGCATCTATAAACTCTTTAAATGCAGTTTAGCAGCACTTTGATATATGTTTCTGTACTAAATTATAAAAAACAAATTTTGAATAATCAATTGTATAATAACAATTGTTATCCTTGCGGGTGTTAGACAATGCTCTGCCCATTGTGCCCATTTGGTACAAAAGTGAAATTATTCAGAACACACCGGGATATGAACATACATCAATGTTATTCATAGGCAATACAAATAATCACAGTATTGGAATCATTCATACAGAGTGTACAATATATAACTTCGCCATTCTAATTTTAATTTTCCCATACAAGTATCCAAACAAAGATAGCAACTACCCGCACATAGATATCACTAGTGATGGAAGCGAGTTCTGTTCATCATCGTGATGAATTCCTCTGGACTAACCTCTCGATCCTCTGCACGTGTTGAGGGAAAGAAAATACATCTCAAAATCATGAGAAGCAGTTATATAGACAAATGGTAAAGCAAGAGAAAATTATGCCAAGTGATAAAATACGAGTAATTTTTCTCAGTAAATCTAGCATTCAAGTTAGAGACCTCTCATCATCTTAATTAATTCCATTTTAATCTTTTTAGCAACAGTATTTTCTGTTTAATGTCTTTGAGCCCAGACAGCTGTCAATTAGAAGATCAAAGTAATGATAATAGTATTGCATATGCACAACATTATGTCAGCATAATCTAAAGCTCATGAATCAATACAA